TTCCCCTCCCCACAACAGACACCCTGGGAGGTCGGTGGGGCTGAGAGAGCTCTGACAGAAACTGCTCTTTTTCAAGGACAGCTCTTATCAGAACTACGGCTTGCCCAAGGTCATCCAGCAGCTGCAAGCGGAGGAAGAAGAAGAAGAAGAGATTGGATTTATACCCTGCCCTTCACTACCCAAGGGAGTCTCAGAGCAGCTTACAAACTCCTTTCCCTTCCCCTCCCCACAACAGACACCCTGTGAGGTGGGTGGGGCTGAGAGAACTCTGACAGAAACTGCTCTTTTTCAAGGACAGCTCTTGTCAGAACTATGGCTTGTCCAAGGTCATCCAGCAGCTGCAAGTGGAGGAGTGAGGAATCAAATCTGGTCCTCCCAGATTAGAGTCTGCGCACTTTTTAAAAAATATATCATTTTAAATTAATTTTTAATTTTACAACATTGTTTTCAACAACATTATTTTTGTAAACACCGCGCGAAACACACGGGGGGGGGGGGGGTTGTACATCTACATAACAGATCTAACATATCCTCTCTCAAGAGTATCTGCTAGAGTACAGTCAAGCTATTTCGTGAGCCTTGAAAACACTGTCAAATTATCTCACATTCAAAAGAAAAGTAAGATTCTCTATACCGGGTTCTTTGGAGTCATCCCACCGTTTTCTAAGTAACGAATCACGGGGAACCAAACCGCCTGGAACCGCTTTTGAAATTGAACCGGCGGCAGAGCTGATGGTGCTGTAGGGGGTGTGCGCCCATAAATAAAACATCCCCAGATTTCCTTTTGCCAACCAGTTAAGGTGGGGATAGTCTTTTGTTTCCATTTGTGTGCAATAGTTATTTTTGCTGGCGTCAGTAAAGTGGATGAGTCCGGGCGCTTAACCGCTACACCAAACCGCCACCCCTTCCCTGCCACCTGGACTGGCGCCGTCTCCTTTGTCTCCTCAGGATTCCAGTGCCACCTTTTGCTGAGGGGGGGGGGTGTCATCCGGCACTCATTCCCTACCTGTAATGTGGGGATAAGAGAGACTGACCTGCTGGAAGGACAAATGCCAACGTCAAGTGATTTGCCTCTGAATCACTTCTGTGACTCAGCTCAAGCGGTGACTGAAAAAAAACTGAAGGCTTAGGAGTTCTGTGCCTTGTGTCGGCTTGCCAGTTTCCAGGTGAGGACTGGAGATTCATTACCCTGGAGGAAACGGCTGTTTCGGGGGGGGGGACTCTGTGGCATTATAGCTCCCCCACACCTCACCTTCCCAAGGCTCCATCCCTAAATCTCAAAGAATTTCCCAACGCAGGGCTGGCCACCCGTCCGTGCAGGGTCCCATGCACAGGACAACACTGGGAGGGGGGGACGGAGCTGACAATTTACAAACGGATTTAATTATGCAAATAAAGCAAACTTTGTATTTATTTATTTATTTATGTTGGCACTTAACGTGCATGTAGCAGCAGTTAGTTGGGGTACAGTTTCCCTTCCTGTTTCTTAATTTTGGAGGCCTTGTGGACGAAAGAAAGGAAAGGGGTGTATGGGGGAGGGGGCAGGAAGAGATCTTGGAAAGGAATTGGTTCAGGGAAAGGGAGCTGAAGGCCGGCTAGCCTCCCTGCCAAATTCTCCCTGTCACGTTTCCGTGCCGCCTTCCCCCACCCGTGAGTGTTTTGCGCACATCTCCCTTCCTCATTTTATTCTCACAACAATCCAGTGAGGTAGGCCTGGCTGAGAAGGAACAGGACTGGCCCAAGGTCACCCAGCAAGCTCTCCTGGCCGAGCGAGGTGCCCCACATCCTGGGGCAATATTCTGACCACTGTGCGCCATTACACCGGCTTTCAGGCCTCAGCCTCTGGTATACCAACAAAATGGGATCCGCTCTCTTTCTGAAATAAGAAGTGCTGAGGCTCACGTTTATGTGTAAATTTGTCCCCCAAACTCTGGATGCGTGGGGCTGGTTGTGGTGAATGCTCCCTCTAAGCTGCGGGGTCTTGTGAGCAAAAACTCTACTTTGTGAGCTCCTGGCATTCAAGTTGTGTGCAGGTGATTTGACTACTGCATAAATTAGTTTGCTCTTCTGGAGTCATCCTTCCTGAGCAAAGACAAAAATGTGTGAGCCAGAGGCTTAAAAACTGCGAGCTAGCTCAAACTAACTCAGCTTAGAGGGAACACTGGACCCCTCTTCTCCCCCAGGAAGACCAGCAACCCAGCCCAGCTCTGGATCCACAGATGTAGTAGACGAAACTTCTTCAGATGCCCAACCAAACCCTTCCAAGGAAGGGGGATACCTCTCTCCTATATTTTTTTGGCAAATCAGAAACCCTGCCCACCTCAACCACTGACCCCAAAACATGCCTACGCATCCCTTGAACAGAAGGACCAACCTAGTCCACCGGGGTCTTCCATAACAGGTTGGGTTCTCCCAAGATGAACTGAAAGGATCAAAGCACATGGATTAGGGGCCACAATGCAGGAGGATTCCGCCCGTCCTCTGCGCTGTTTTCCTGGTCTCTCCCCACCCCTCTCTTGCCGTTATTTGCTCCTCAGAGACAAACGGGGTGGAGGAAACTGGCATCAAGTCACAGCCGATTTTATTGACCCCATAGGGTTTTTCGGACAGACGTTCAGAGGTGGCTTGCCAACTGCCTGCCTCTACACGGCAACCCTGGGGAGCAGTTTGTGTCAGAGTTCTCTCAGCCCCACCTACCTCACAGGGTGGCTGTTGTGGGGAGGGGAAGGAGTTTGTAAGCCGCTCTGAGACTCTGAGTGAAGGGTGGGGTATAAATCCAATCTCTTCTTCTTCTTCTTCTTCTTCTTCTTCTTCTTCTTCTTCTTCTTCTTCTTCTTCTTCTTCTTCTTCTTCTTCTTCTTCTTCTTCTTCTTCTAATACTAACCAGGGCCGACCCTGCTTAGCTTCTGAGGTCGGGCTAATCTGGGGCCATCCAGATTAGCTTGCGGGGAGCGCGGGGTATAAATGAAATTAATTAATTAAATAAATAAATAAATGCACCACGTCAGAGAAATGTATGAGCCCCATAAGCTAAGCACGTTCCAAAATATTGCTTTAATTGGGTCCAATGCTCCCTCTAAGCTGTGGAGACTTGTGAGCAAAAATTCAACTTTGTGAGCTCCTGGCATTAAAGTTGTGAGCGAGCGACGTGGCTACTGCATAAATTAGTTTGCTCTGGAGCCGCCTTTCCCGAGATAAGACAAAAATGTGTGAGCCGGAGGCTGAAAAACTATGAGCTAGCTCACACTAATGCAGCTTAGAGGGAACACTGATTGGGTCAAACCTCCTGTCTCCGGCAACGTGATGTCCGAGACAGAAAGGGTCAAGACTGTGATCACTGGGTAGAGGAGACCCACTTTCCTGATTTCAGCGGGTCAGAACTGTTGTACTACAAGCAAAAATATTTGTGAAATCCCCCTAAATCCCAGCTCTCACATCGGGATGTCATTTCCCCATGGATCACGAGAACGATCCCCAGAGACCAGGACGACTGCCCACAAATCCTGAGTCTGATGTCTCAATCCCTCCCCCAAAAAAACCTCCACCTGATCTAGAAACGTTCTTTGCTGAACGCATGAAAGATAAAATTCCTAGCCGCCCGTCGGCTGCTGGTGCTCACACCGCTTATTCGCCTGGAGGGAAGCCCTCATGTCAACCCAACACGTGTGCATCGCTCTGGCACACCAGGGAATGGGGGAGAGGCCTCTTGCACGGGCTCAGAGCAATGTTCCCTCTAAGCAGTGGAGTCTTGTGAGCAAAAATTCTACTTTGTGAGCTACTGGCATTCAAGTTGTGAGCGAGCGATTTGACCGCTGCATAAATTAGTTTGCTCTGGAGCCCTCCTTCCTGAGCTGAGACAAAAATGTGTGAGCCGGACGCTAAAAAACTGTGAGTTAGCTCACACCAACTCAGCTTGGAGGGAACCCTGGCTCAGAGACAGGCTTCTCCGAGTCTGCATGTATGGAGGGGCAGATCCCAGCACAAAATGCTGCTCGTTGGGAAAAACAAGAGATCTCACAGACACAAAAACAGAGGTCGGGCAAGGCCTGAAGGTTCAAACGGAGCCCCGAGTCGCTTCCTGGGAGCAGAGAGACGCCGCTTAGTGGGGCTTTAGGGTGTGCAAGTACCTGTTTGGCTAATTCTAAAAAGTGCAGCGAAAAAAGGGGAACATGTGCAGATCTTTTAGAGGGCAGACGTGTTGGTTCGGAGTTGGACATTTATATCTGAGTCCAGGAGCCCCTTAGAGAAATCAAGAGTTTCAGGGTGGGAGCTTTGCTTCCAAGTTCCACCCTGAAACCCTTGATTGTCTCGAAGGGGCTCCTGGACTCAGATATAAATGCAGAGCTGTGAATCTCTCCCATGGTGACGTGATACCCCCTCGGATCCAGGCACGGTGGCTCCTCTTCCCTGCGCGTGATGCGTGCAGAGCAGAGGGGAGTCTGCAGTGGTAGCTAACAGAGTTAGTGCGCGCACATGGCCCGCACACATGGGGAGGGTCTTCTCTGTATGTGTTGGTCTGCTGGGTCATAGGGTCCCCCAGCCACATGACACAATACCCAGGGACATGATGCACCATCGGAGGAGTATTAATAGGTGCTTGCATGACCCACCACAAAGGCCAAGGCGGAATTCCCATTAAGGAGGGGGGGGTGTTGAAAGAGCAGGCCTCTCAGCAAGGGGGTGTCCTGAGGGGGAGGGCTGCCCACAACACCCCCCAAGTGCTGCTGACCAACGCTCCCTCTAAGCTTTGGAGTCTTGTGAGCAAAAATTCTACTTTGTGAGCTACTAGCATTAAAGTTGTGAGCGAGCGTTTGCTCTGGAGCCCTCCTTCCCGAGCTAAGACAAAAAAAACCCTGTGAGCCGGAGGCTAAAAAAACTGTGAGCTAGCTCACACTAACTCAGCTTAGGGGGAACTCTGCTGCTGACCCCGTTGACCTTTGGGCCCCCACATCTTACCCCCAGACACAGCACCCTCCCCACTTTCTCCAGCCCCAGGTTACCTCCTCTCCGCTTATCTGCTGGAACCCCGACGGCATCTCTGGTGGACGGGTGGCAGATTCGAATCCTGGTTGCAACGGCAAAGACCAGGCTGGAGGGACAAGATCCTCCGGCCTTCTTCTAGGGAGCAAGGCGGAATCCCAAATCGCTGTCCAGGCAAGAGGTGATAAAACTCATAAACTCCTGGGGAGGATTGGAGACTCTAGCTTGGGGGGGGGGGAAGGGGAGAAAGTAGGGAAGGGAGGAGGGGGCAGCGGCAGCGAGGGGGAGGAATGGAAAGAAAGTGGCTTAGGGAGAAGAGGGGGGCAAAGAAGAGGAGAGCGAGGAAGGATGGAAAGAGACGAACAGAGCCGGCAGAGAAGAGAAGAGAAAGCTGGAAAGGAAGGTGGAGAGGCAGGCTGGAAGAGAGAAAGAAAGGGAGAATGAGAGGGGGGGGGGAAGGAAGGAAGGAAGGAAGGAAGGAAGGAAGGAAGGAAGGAAGGAAGGAAGGAAGGGAGGAAGGGAGGAAGGGAGGAAGGGAGGAAGAAAGAAAGAAAGAAAGAAAGAAAGAAAGAAAGAAAGAAAGAAAGAAAGAAAGAAAGAAAGAAAGAAAGAAAGAAAGAAAGAAAGAAAGAA